CATCTCCAAATAGGCAGGGAACAGTGGGCCTAGAGAAGCATCAGGAATTACCTCCTTGGGTTACATTTCCAAGAACCCAATACTCAGAAGAATCCCAGTGTCCTTAACTCAAAAGCCAGTTCCCTTCCCTTACAGTAACTGTAATTCTAATTCTGTATAATTGTATTATTGACAGTCTGATCTGTACATGAGGAAGGGGAAAAAGGGGGGGGGGGGCGGATCCCAAGGATAGCAAGCTTCAGCTTGCAGGACTAAACAAATTTTGCCAGATCCTCACTAGCTGGCAGGGTTTTGGCAGAGGAGGCTTGATCAGACAATAAAAGTTCAGGTATGGTTTTAGCCCACCTCGAAGCAATGCTTCCAAAAGTCCATGCTGCTTGAACAAGAAGCTATCACTAAGCTACTTCTAGTTGCATGTTGCCACACGACACAAGATTGTCAAGTTGAAACGGTCACAAAAGAATTGGTCAAATGAACTGGGGATGCTTAATGTGGAGAAGAAAAGACAGGGGGGTGGAGGGAGCAAGATGGCAACTGTATTCAACTCTTTCTAGAGTCCTGGAGTAGAAGAGAGAGTAGACTTACCCTATGAAGTTCCAGAAAGCAAAAATAAAATCACCAAGGAAGAGTGACTGGGAACCAACTATTCACTCAATACAAAAAGACACTTCTTAAGTCAAATGAACAAGTGCCTACTATTTTCCAAGGCGATGTGCTAAGCTCTGGGGATACAAAGAAAGGCAAAAAAAAACCAAAAAACCAGTCCCCACCCTCAAGGAGCTCACAATCTAATGAAGTAGACAACATACAAATGACTACATACAAATGAGCTACATACAAGATAAACAGGAAATAATCAAGAGGGAGGGTAAGATAAAGGAGGATAAAGATAAAGGAGGATCACGAAAGGCTTCTTGCAAAAGGCTGGACTTTAGCTGAGTAAGATATGAAGGAATTCAAGGAAGCCAAAAGGCACAGGAGACAGTGAAAATACTGGGAGTGAGGAGACGGAAGCAATGTGGAAAGAACAGGAAGGAGGCCACCATCATGTAAAAGAGTCGTCCAAAAATGAAACAGGCTCCCTCAGGGGCTAGTGAATCACATAGTAACTGAAAAAAAGCAGTAGATGACTGACCACCTGTCGGAAATGCAACAAAGAATTCATGGTTCCATGGTACTAACTGGCCTTTCTGAGGATCCTTTCTAATCCAGGGATTCCCTGCTTCAAGGAAAAACTGGGGACCTACTTCTCAGCACTGGGTCCAAGGAAAGTCAAATAATGCAACACAGTGATACCACGGGCTACCAAGAGGTTCTGCCTTCTAAACCTTTGTTTTGAATCTTCATTGAAGATAGTGTCAATACACACCAGCATGCCGCTGGCTATAAGCATGCTTTGTCATGCCGGCTGTCTATTTATTCAAGCAGTTTAAGGCACTAAGGAAAGAGGGTGGGAGCTATAGGAACAAGGCAGATCTTAACACAGCACTGAAAATGCTCTGGTGACAGGGAGTAGCAGATACTTACCGGCTGTGTTTAAAACCTTTGTTTGTTTGTCTGTTTGTTTTGTTTTTAAAGACAGGTGTGGAAAAAGGCATATCAATCACTCAAGTTCAAGTAGCAACACAGGCCTTCCTCCCTCCACCACCATTCCCTGTGTCTTCATTTCTGGCAGCCTCTTACTAACAGATGGGTATGCTATAAAGCAACTCTGAGAGCTTTCATAAGTGGGCAAGTATATGTACTCATAAATCTGTGAAATTAAGGAAAGGGTGGTTTCCAGGAGATGATCCAAATTTGCATCTGCTCCCCCTCCAGGCAGCAATGGTATGCTACAGCCCTTGTTCCATTTTCCCCATCAAGAAATAACCCTGCTTCTCAGCAATGCAAGGATCTAAGACAACTCCAAAAGACTCACGATGGAAAATGCTATCCACATCCAGAGGAAAAACTCAGGAGTCTGAATGCAGACGGAAGCATACTATTTGCTCTCCTTTTGTTTTGTTTTGTTTTGATTCTTCTTTCTCATGGTTCCTCCCATTAGTTCTAATTCTTCTTTATATTATGACTAATGTGAAAATATGTTTAATACGAATGTATAAGTAGAACCTATATCAGATTGCATGCCATCTTGGAAAGGGGGGAGGAGAGGAAGGGGAAGAAAATTTAAAACTCAAAATCTTATGGAAGTAAATGTTGAAAACTAAAAATAAATAAATTATTAAAAAAACAAAACAAAACAAAATAAAAACAAAAAAAGAAATACACTGCCTTCAAACTCTCACTCCTCCAGTCTACCCTCTACAAGATGGAATATGATCCAAGGGAAAGGATGCTGACCTTGGAGGCACAAGAAAAACCCCGCCTCCTGACTCACTCCTCCAATCTACCCTCTACTAGTCAGAATAGAGTCCAACAGAAAGGACCCTCACCGGGCAGGTAGGTGGCGCAGTGGATAGAGCACTGGCCCTGAAGTCAGGAGGACCTGAGTTCAAATATGACCTCAGACCAAACACTTGGCACTTATTAGCTGTGTGACCCTGGGCAAGTCACTTAACCCCAACTGCCTAAAAAAAAAAAAAAAAAAGGGCCCTGACCTTGGAATCCCAAGACCCATGTTCAAAACTCTTTTTCTGATACTCACTAGCTGTATCTCCCTAGGCAAATCATAGCACCTCAGAATCTCCATTTGCTTATGTCTAAAATGAGAAAAGGCATCAGACATCATCTAGGCCAAGCCCCATATTTTACAGCTGAGAATACTGAGGTTCAGCATTGGGTAAGTGGATCACCCAAAGTCACAGAAGTATTAAGTAGCAAAATAGGGACTGACAGAATTTAACCATATATCTGACTTATGTCTCACTTATGGAAAAGTAATGTCTTTGTATATAGAGTCACTATAAAAAACATGAGTTTTAAGGGAGTTTAGCAATAATATTTATATAGCCCTTTAAAATATTCACAGCTCTTTTTCTGTGTTATCCCACTTAAACATCACAGTAATGCTATTAGCTGTTATCCCCATCCTGCAGTCATCAAACCCCCAAACAGTAAAAAGTTACCAAGAATTTAACTCGCTCTGGATCTTGCTCTGTGTGTTATTTTTAAAGGGTTCATTGTGAAGTGTGTTCTCTCTGAATTGAGACACTGAGGTTAAAACTGGAAGAATCCTGAGTAAATTGTTCTCATTTTCCACTGATGCTACGAGACACACTCCTATTTAATATTTAACATAAATTTAATGTTTAATACAATGGAAGCCTATGGAGAACTGAGATTCACAACCTGCCTCCCCACCACCACCACCTTTCCAGTCCCCCTACATATTACATGATTCAATGTCATTAGCTTCCTTGCTTCCCATATCCTGACTCTGGGGGTCTCCTCAGACCTGGAATGCTCTCCCTCCTCATCTCCATCTCCTGGCTTCCCTGGCTTCCTTCAAGTCCCAGCTAAAATCCTACCACCAATAGGAAGCATTGCATGGTCCCCTTTCATTCTAGTGCCTTCCCTCTCTTAATCGTCTCCAATTTATCCTGTATACAGCTTGTTTACATCTTGTCTCCCGCATTAGACTATGGGCTCATTGAGGATAGAGACTGTCTTTTGACTTTCTTTGTATCTCCAGCACTTAGTACAGTACCTGGCACTTAGTAGGTACTTAATGAATGTTTAATGACTGACTGAACAGAAGGCTCTATGATTTAGTAAGAACAACAAAGGAAGATTTGACTTTATATATGGGAGAAAAAATAACTTCCTAACAATTAAAGCTATTCAAGAGTGGAATGTTACCACCCTGGTTGAGGCCTTCATCACCTCTCGTTGGGACTACTGTAACAGCTTTATAACTGGGTGTCCTTACCTCAAGTCTCCAATTCCAGCCAGCTGCCAAAGTGATTTTTCTAAAATACTGAAGTGATAATGTCATTCCTCGACTCAGTGAACTCCAGTGGCTTCCTATTACCTCCATAACTCAACATAAAATGCTCTCTTTGGCATTTAAAGATCTTCCTAACCCCTCCTACCAGTCCAGTCTCCTTATGTGTCCTCCCCTCCAGGTATTCTATGATTCAGCTACATTACTCTACTGGCTGTTCTTCAGAAAGGCAACTCCTTTCTCCTGATTTGGTATCTTTGCACTGGCTGTCTCCCATGTCGATGATGCTGGCTTCCTCCACATCTCAGCTCAGGAGACCTTCCTCACTCCTCCACAACCTTAGTGCCTTCTCCCTGATATTACCTTCCATCTACTCTCTATTTATTTTGTATATACCTAGTCATTTACATGTTGTCTTCCTCATTAGAAGGGGAGCTCCTTGAGGGCAGAGGCCTTCCTTCGCATCCTCAGAGCTAAACGGTGGCTGGCACATAGTAGGTGCTTAACAAATGTACTGACCAACTGGAATGGGTTGCTTCAGACAGCAGTAGTTTGTCTCACTTTTAAGGTCTTATTCATAAGCAAAAGCTAGATGACCCCACTGTTGGATCTGTCATAGAAGGAATTTTTGTTTGAACATGGATTGGAATTATAATGATTTAACAAAAGGGTGGTGCAGCGGATACAGCGCCAGTCCTGGAGTCAGGAGGACCCAAGTTCAAATGTGGCCTCTGACACTTACTAGCTGTGTGACCCTGGGCAAGTCACTTAACCCTCTCTGCCTCAGTTTCCTATTTGTAAAATGCGCTAGAGAAGGAAATGGCAGTACCTTTGCCAAGAAAACCCCCAAAAGGAGTCACAGACAGTTAAACACGAGTAATTGACTAAACAACAATAAACCAAAGACATCAATGAACACTTGTTTTTAAATAAATACCTACGTACATGCATAAATGAGGGAATGAATGAATGAATAAAGGTCAGACTGGATGACTTCTGAGGTCCCTTCTCCCTTTGAAATTTTGTGTGAAGATGGTGGTACACACCACGAGAAAGCAGGGGAACTTGCCAAAGATCCTGGTTTTGGCATCAAGGTGTGAAGACAAAGAATACTTACCAGTTTCTGGGACTTTCTCTTCTGGTCCGCCAAATAAAAATTCATACTTGGCCTTGGCAACGCTTTTGGAATGAGCTGATCTGTTGTTAACCCAAACAAATGTCTCTGCCTGCAAAATGAGAATAAAACAGAGATAAAACTTCTATTGTTTAAAAATGCATCATTCTCTAAGAAATTACTATATATGTATATATACCATATTTAAGGAAACTACTCCACAGCTAGAACATTTTTAAGGTATAGATTATGTTGCTAAGTATATTAATGTTAACATAAGTGCCCTGGGCAGAGGTCTGTGTTTTCTGTATGTTCAGGTACATCCCTTCAGCGAAACTGGGCACTGAAACGGGCCTCTCTGATGTCCCATATTACACGTCTGAGCCGAGTGAGAATTCTCTCCTTCTATCCTCTGGATAGAATTTATGCTCCACACAGCTGTCTAAAGCATGGATCTGACTAGGTCACATCCCTTTTCAATAAGCTCCAGTGACTCCCTACTTCTAAGATCAAATATAGATGACTCTTCGGCATCTAAAAACCATTATGACTTAGCCTTTTCTGATTTATTTTCATCTTATTTTTTTCCACATATTTCATATAAGGTCCAACCAAACTAGCCTTTTCACTGTTTTTTCATTTCTATTTTTTACCTATGTGCATTTACTCAGGCTACCCCAATGCCTGGAATGTACTTCCTCTTCACCCTTGCTAATTAAAATTCCTAACTTCCATTCAGGCTCCGTTCAAATACCATCTCCTACATGAAGCCTTTCATGATTTTCTAGTACCCCTCCTCAAACATGCTGGTGAGTTCTGCCCTTCAAATACCTTATATCTATTCTACATAGCTATATACATATGTGTAAATAGCTAGATTACAAGCTCCTGGAATATAATTCTTTGTGTTTCTATCCCTAATGCCTAGCATTGGAGGATCCTAAGACATGCTTGATAATTGCTACTGTGATCACTAAACACCTTCAGTCAGTCAATAAGCATTTATTAAGAGCCTACTATGTGCAGGCATCATGCTAAGTGTTGGTGATACAAAGAAAGGTAAAAGATAGTCTCTGCTTTCAGGAAGCTCAAAGTTTAATGAGGGAAACAACAAGCAAATAACTTAATGGGGGAGACAACATGCAAATAGCTATGTACAAACAGATTGTTGTCATTTATCCTCCTTTCTCAAAAAAGACCATGACAATGATGCCATGACTTGCAAGTGAATTGGATTAAAGGGAGGGAGGGCTGTGCAAGGTCACCAGACTCACTCTCTCTTCCAGAGTCATATGGGTCTAATGGCAAGATAGAGATCAGGACAACTGGAGATGGCCCCCACAAACAAGCTAAATACAGGATAAATTGTATATCAGAGGGAAAGCACTAAGATTAAGGAGGACTGGGAAAGGCTTCATTAATCTTTGAAAGATGAAAGAGGTATACTGGAAGACTGAGAATGAGCCAATGTTTTATGCTCAATGAGCCAATGATTTTCAAAAAGAGGGATTCCAGAAAGCAGAGACCAAAATATTTCTAAGTAGATGGTTTGTAAATAGTTAAAAAGGAACATGGTCATCATTACAAGCCAGTGCAAGTTCACTAAATATAAATCATGCTATTGATTAAACTCATTTCCTCTTTTTTTCAGAGTTACTACACAGGCGAATCAGGAAATTATGTATACAGAACACATCTGGATTTCAGAGGGGCATTTGGCAAAGTTAGCCACAATATCCTTACAGATACAATGGAAGAATGTGAGCAGAGATATGATTTCAGCACAGAAATGTGATTTCAGAGTTGGTTCAATAACCCATCGAAAGATGTTGATGAATTAATTGCTGTCACTCTAAAAGGTCTCTAGTGGAGGTAGACACAGTTCTTTCTTAAGCCCTGTCCTTTTAGCCTTTTTCTTTTTAAATAAGTGACTAAGATGAATCTATAACAGGCAGTGATCATATATGTTGATCACATAAAGTTAAGTTGGGGGTGAAAAAAATGAAGATCAAAAATATCTGGATACAGGGTTCTGAGCTTTTTATTGAGTCATGGAACCCTTTGGCAGGCTAGTGAAGCCTATGTACCCCTCCTCACAATGTTTTTAAGTGCATAAAGCAAAACACATAAGAATCCAATCATACTGAAATATGGCTATCAATTTTTTTTTAGTTCATTGACCCCAGATTGTTGTTGTTTAGTCATTTTTCAGTCGTGTCTGACCCTTCATGACCACATTTGGGGTTTTCTTGGCAGAGACACTGGAGTGGTTTGCCATTTCCTTCCCCAGTTCATTTTACAAAGGAGAAAATGGAGGCAAATAGGATTAAGTTGACTTGCCCAGGGTCGCTAGTGCCTGACGCTAGATTTGAATTCAGGAAGATGAATCTTGCTAATTTCAGGTTCAGCATTCTATCCATTGTGACACACACAACCTCTGAATTAGATGGACTAGAAAAATGGAACAATCTAATAAGAATAAATTTAATAGGAGTAACTGATGAGCCCTGCACTTACATTAAAAAAAGAATCAATTACACAAGTATATAATGGAAAGATGTAGTTAGATAATAATTCAGGTGAAAAAAAATCCATGAATATTAATTGAATGCAAGATTAACATAAGCCAACATGATGATATAGTTGCCTCCCCCCCAAAAAAAGTAATGCAATATCAGGCTGAATTACTAATAGCTTACATTTACATAGCCCTTTAAGTTTTACTGAGTGCTTTTTTTTACAACAACTAGCTAAGGTAGGCCATGCAGGTAAGATTATTCTCATTTCACAGATGAGGAAACTGAGACTCAACCTCGTGATAACGGTGCAGTGAAAAGTGTGATTTGGTGCAAATCCTGATTTCACCACTTAATACCTACATGAACCTCAGGAAGTCAGCCTAATTGGACCTCAGTTTCCTCATATGTAAAATGAGGGGGTTGAGACAGCCCCTAAGTCTATGATCCTATTTTTGCTGCTTTAAAAATAAAAGTTCTTTGTGGAACTATTTTGTCAACAAGCATAAACAACCTATGACCAACTGTATATGGCTGGCTTATAACTGCCAAATGACTAGAATGACTCATTGGTGTGGTTTACACTCTAAAGAGTCATAACAAAGATAACTGATCAATATTAACCAACTTACACACGCCTTCCTATGTTATAGCACACACTGATTATGGGGAGCAGGATTTTTTCTCCCTAAATCAAGGGCCATTTAAGAAGAAAGTAAAGCAAAAAGAAACCAAGAATACTATGAGGCCTGAAATTTGGTTTGTAATCACCATATACCTGTACACTGGCCTGTAATCTTGACCTGTGGGTCACAGTCAAAGTACCAGAGAGGGAAAGAGAGAAAGAGAGAGAAAGCGAGAGAGAGAGAGACAGAGAGAGACAGAGAGAGAGAGAGAGAGAGAGAGAGATCTAGGTGGGTCTAAAGACCCACACAGCCAGACAGAAAGAAGGAAAGATAGACAGACAGACAGACAGACAGATAGATGTATTTAGACAGAGATAGAGATAGATAGATAGATGATAGATAGAGAGATAGATAGATAGATAGATAGATAGATAGATAGATAGATAGATAGATAAAATGAAGAATTGGACTAACACGACCTCCTCCAAGGTCCCTTCCAGCTCTAAAAACAAGATCCTGTGAAGTTCATTATTAGCAAAATAAACTCTGTCTCCTGAAGGCCAAGAAACCTTAATTTGTCTGGAGGAGGAAGCCCACCCCACTCACCTTGCTGCTACCTAACAACACTGCTTAGAAAAAACTTTTATTACAGCGAGCTGCCCTTTGAGCCTGGGACAAAGAAAGACAAACGTATCTAATCCAGAATTTAAAAGCATAACTGAGAGAAAGCTCCTTTTTTAAGGGGGCTGGGGGAGGGTGGGTGGAGGAGGGCAAGGAGAAGTACTTTACTCATTTGAAATCTTCATGGAACACAAAAAGATGAAGAGTGCTAAGGCCCTGTAACTTAGCCTGAACCAAAGCCTCAGTGCTTTGGGTCACAGACAGCCGTAAAATCGAAGCCGAGGGCTATGGGGGTCCTATTTCACAAGCCACGCTGGAACAACACTTGATCCCAGTCCTGGAACTCCCACCCTGATCTCGTTCAATCCCATTGCTTCTTGTTCACAGGCTCACCAGGAAGATTGGCAGCTGCCAGCCTCAACTCATATGGAGGGAAGCACCCCCCTCCAAAAAAAGTCAGGGTGTCAACAGCCTGGGAACAGGCTAAGTGGCTAGCACATAGTAGGTACTTAACACTGGCTTGCTGAATTATTGCTCTGCCCTCTGTGGTTTATAAAGCTCATGATCTCATCTGATCTTCACAAAGGCCCTAGCAGACAGATAATACAGGTGCTGTTATTCCTGTTTAACAAGCTAAGAAACTGAGGCATAGAGGGATTTTTTTTTTTAATTAAAGGTAACTCATCTCTAAAATTCAGGGATACTGTGACTTTGAAGGCCTAGTACCCAGTTCTCCTAGAATCTCCTGATTCCAAGTCCAGAGCTCTTTCAGGGAGTCAGATAATACTATGCCTCACTTCTTTGCCATGTACAAGATCCTGGGGACAACTTGTCCAGGTCTGTAATTTAACCAGGGTGGAGGCCTCCTGGCATGTTAAACTCCTCTACCCAGCAACCTCTTCCTACCTTAAGAGAGCTGAATAGGACACTGAGAGGTCAGGTAATTTGCCTATGATCATACAGACAGTGCCAATCAAAGGCAAGACGAAGCTAGGTCTTCCTCATTCCAAGGCCAGCCCTGGGTAGGACATAAAGACCAGTAAGACATGGCCCCTTTGTTCATCAGTCTTTCAAGGGAAGGGGAGAATGTGAAACTGAAGAGATTGCTGAGTTGCTCTTCTCCTAGTGAACTGGCCTTTAAGGCTGGTCATAAAAGGACAAATATATCCAGTTCAGAAAGTTAAAAGCATAATTTAGGTAAAGCATGAAGCTAAATGCTAAAGGAGTTTTAATTTTAATTTCCTACCTCTTCACCCCCTCAAAAAATAAATAAAAATAAAAAGAAGTGATTCAATGTGGTATGGGAAAAAGAGCACTGGACTTGGAGTCCAAGGGTCAAGGTTCAAATC